GGTGAGCGAAGTACGTGAGTCCTACGTACTGCGTGTCGGTCCATTGTGGTCCTTTCGGACCCGTAGGACAATGTCAATGAATTCCCCATTAGTATTTGTCTCTTTGCAGGGCGCACTGAAATGTCATTTTTTTCCATGAAGGGAATCCCAGCTAGTACATCGGAATCTAGGTTTTCCACAATGAGACCTTCAAAGTAGAGATCCTTACCATCACGAGAAAATATGAGGCGCGTCTCGCCTATAACCTTAAGAGGCGATGAGCCGTCAGCCTGACTCGCGGATTGTGTACTTGCTGTGATTTTAGCGCCGAGTTTAGTGGCACACGACAATCGCATCATGTTGCCCGTAGCACCAGTATCAACGGTAAGCCGAACTGAGTGATGGTTGTAGAACACATCAAAGTACGGGGACTGACGTATTACTACCCTGTTGATGAGATCACATTCAGTGTCACTACTACCAGACGGGGTGTGTGTAGTATCAAAGTCCTCTTCAATACAGATGTCGGTCGAACCTGATACTGTGCGAGCTTTGGCCATGAAACGTTTATCTTCTGGGGGGAGGTACACGCACTTACTAAGGAAATGTTCATCGGGTCTCCCTGCTGCCTTACAGAGGGGACATGCCCTTTTCGTCCTGGCGGTGTATTGGGGACGTTTCGGCTTAAATGACTGAACAGATGATCTCATGGCTCTCGCATCCTCTGTGGTTTGTAACTCTTCCAGTAGGGAGTCGAGGGCCTGTGAAATTTCAGGTTTTATTGATGATAGTGTTCGCGAGCGGAGTTCAGTACCATATCGCTGTTTTACGAGCTTAGGCAAGTCTATATGTATAAGTCTGAGCCATGTAAGGACAACAAAGTTCTCAAGGGAAGGTGTAAGCTCCTCATCAGCTTCAATTGCTTCGCCATGATGAGCATTTGTATACTGGTATTTAATAAAAAGGTTCATAAAGACATCGATTCGCTTTTCAACAGCAGGGTTCACAAATATGTTTTTTAAATATGAAAAAACTTTCGGTAGTCTCTATGTTGAAGGTAAATGACAGGCTCAAGTTGCCAACATCCTTAGCATGTGTCAATGAGAATTTTCCTTTATTTTCGGTAATAAACCAGCGTATCCATGTGTGTAAAATTAATATACTATTTTTTTGTGTATTATTTTTATTGTTATACATCGATCAATGTATCCCAATGCCGTCAGTGTAGACCTTAATGTCAAACAGAATACAGATCAAGCACATGCCTTAATGATATCGTCTGTTATTGTTGACGAGTAAAACAATAAGAAAGACTGACACAGCAGTTATGGCTGGCATTTGAGCGTATCTGTTACAGACACCAGACATATATATATTTAATGCATGGTATTGTAGCGCCAGTTGATCTTTATTATTGTTAACTGACCGCAGGCATTCAATTAGGATAAACTGTAAAAGAGACCATTTGTTTTTACATAATTACAAAAAAACAAAAAAACAAAAAAAAAACACACAAAAATAATGTACATGTAACAATATTTAATGCTATTGAAGTTGGATCATGTTAAATTAATCCCTCAAATATGTCATGTCTCTTTTTCTCGGAAATATGATTAATGAAAATAAAGCAAATGTACAAATAATAAAATGGTGAAAATAAAAATAAATCAAATATATGTATTTATACATATACATATTTTGACTTGTATCAATACATATTTTACATACGATCGATTCAGTAAGTATAACTAAACTATAGTGGCTAAGCAATACACAATTGATTAACTGACAAGTGTTCCTCGGTCGATTAGATGATGTGGTTTTTTGACTAATGAAAACATCCTTCATTATTAAAGATATACAGAAATGATTGATGACGCGACGGGAATCACTGATATACGCGCTCACGTCATAGAGGAGCGATATTTGTTAATTCGTCACCATACAGGGATATACCTGTTCCCTAAAACATTATGGATACATATCCTATATTTACATGTATGTTGCTTTGCTTCTGCATGTGTTCTACTGCAGGTATGTATATCAATCTTTATGGATATTTTTGTCTAGGGAGTTAAAAATGATAAACTAAATATTTGAAATAATTATAAATTAATTGATTTCAATTGTTTGCTAACTGTTTCTTTTTCTGAGACTCATAGTGTAATTGTAATGTCTACTGATCGTTAAAATATATAATGAGTTATACTTTAAATAAGAGTTATATGCAATATTTATACATGACTTATTTTGTAATATTATAACGATTCAATATAAGTTATATAAATGTGATTTTTCATTATTACTAAAAATCCCATTTGTGAGTTATTTCAAAGGTTTGTTTTTCTAGTTTCTAATATTTGAATTTTACATGTTATGTTTTCATAACATATCATAATAGTTGTTTTATTTATACCTTTTTTGGTTGAAATAGTATTTAATGACAAACGCCATATGTGTTCTTTAAATATAACATGATAATTCTAGTATCTGCTATAGCAAGTGTTATATATTGCGTACGCTATTCACAATAACAGGGATATGTTTATTTCACTTTCTGTTCAATTGAATTGTAGCACTATAATGTTTAACAATAATTAATAAAATCACTTTTCAGGAAATGTGCATCTCAAGTTTTAATCCTATTTTTTTCGTTTAGGACATGTAGGGTATGGTCAGAAAAAATCAATAAAAAAAAACCCAATATATAATCGAAAAAATTCATTCGAGAATAAGATGTAGTGAAATGGACCTATAAATTATCTTATCGTAACTGCCCTGAAAACTCGAAAATGAATTCGGAAGTTTTCAGTTTGTAAGGATTTTTTCCCCCAATTGTCTGTAATCGTCTTTTTCATCATCCCAAGTCCTATTGTGCTTAACAGTTAGCTTGAATTAAGAGAGGCTAGATTATGTTTTGTTTAAATTGCGATTTCATCTGTAATTGTACATAATCTGGATTAATTTGTCATGAAAAAGTTAGCTTGAGCCAGTAAATATCGGACGTGAACGGTTGTTTGCCCAAATCATCAATTAGAATAAGCAGACAGGTGATTCATTTAATATGATTAATTGGATTGTGATGCAAAATGTTATACAACTTCTCTTCTTACATAATCGGCTCAATGAGCAAATATTTTTTAATAATTTATTCAAATCAAACGCTTTGAACTCTAACATTAACAAACATACATATTAAACATTAAACCAACAATTATACCCAAGGCACTATGTATTGCGTTTGTTTGCAACAGTACCGTTGATAAAAATATTTTATGGCAACAACATCCTGTTGTTTATGAACTCGAGTTCATACAAAGTTAAAGCAGGTGAAGATAAGTATAGATGAAAGCTTCCTTCGACTCTGTTTGCCCTAAAGGCACTCATGATGTATCACATGTATATTAATAATGCAAATGGCGTAGATAAAATACGATATGAAATCTTGAACAGATTTTGTGACAAGATATAAAAAGTTAAGTACTGGCTCAATAATTGATAGGTGGAAGGAAGGGATGATAAACTCAATAAAAAAGCTCAAGCATGCATATCAAAGGATCCGTTTGACATACCGCTAAATAACAGTATATTGTGATGTTTAAAATAGCCGTCAAACTTTGTGGTAAGAAAATAAGAATATATAATATATAAACTTCATTTATTTACAACAATTATGAAACAAGTTTTTATAACTTTTACTTATACTCTTGTTGGCCCGGATATTAGCGCGCGGGGGTTTTAATGTGGGAGGAAACCGGAGTACCCGAAGAAAACCCACGTATTCGGGCAGGTGACCCCTTACCGTTTTCACGCCCGATCTTGGCATCGAACCCGAGCCGCTTTGGTGAGGCAAGTTTGCTATCCGGACCACCCCTGAAAATGAAAAGCTTCTGGTCAATGAGCAAAATGACTGCTGCAGTGACCTATATTTGAATATATGGATATGGAAAAAACATATCTGTGCTATTCCACGACGATGACACTGTACTATCGGTATCATCAGAATCGAATATACAAGCCGTTATTGATCATGAGGGTTCACTGTGCTAGGCATGGAAATTCATCATAGCAAACATAATGTAGATCATTCTCGACTTAAAATTGCTGGTTCGACGGACACGTACCTACCTAGTCAGAAAACCATGCGCTTGGCTCAACGTTGAGGTTGGGTGGCATATTTTATGAAGTGTATACGATATTGTTTAAAACCATTGTCCAGCCTATAATGTCGCGGAATAAATGTTCATTAACATAAATAAAACAACAATTTGTTAACAAACACGCTGTTAAACTCAAAATCGGAAAAAAAGAAAATATGAATAGAGGGAAAATGTAACGACCATGTGTTTCGGGAGGGTACGCGTCTTTTACTTTATCGACGACATCCGCCACCTTAATCTAGGTCAAATCCGAGTAATTTTATACTCTCAAACCGAACACTCGTGTAGTTCAGCAAACCAAACCAAACCAATTAGCATTATAAATAATATAAACCCTAATATCCCAAAAAGAAACAGCATACATTGGATTTTTAAATGACAACCAGAAAAAGTGAGCATAATCTTAATCAACCTGCATTTTTGGAAAACACAGTGTTGTTAGTTTATCATTAAGCAATCGACAAGTATCACGAAAGCAATGACATGATGACATGCAAAAAAAAATACAAATATATTCCCTTGAACTGGAGAATGTGCTAAAAATGTTTGCACTCAGTGATATTGCTTGGACCCCTTGTCGTTCGATGAACGAGTTAAATACCTCTGGTTTGATATTGGGCTTCAAGGCGCTTATATCGAAAGACTGCTATATAAAAAACATTTTGGTGCTCTGAACGCACTAATACATTGAAAACACACATATGGAAAATGGCTGCATGCACAAACCAAAATGTCGGTAACACTTTCACATCAACAAATTTACAGAAGGTGAAATGTGTCGAATAAATCAAACTATGAAAATATTAAAGGAATGTTAAAAGGGAAACAAGATAATGTTTTTGATGAACATTATGTAATATTCAGTTTTCAGAAAGTGCCATAAAGGCCGAGCTCCACTGTGCATCAAACTATAACCTTATCTTATATGTTCATGCACCTCCCTTTCTGCGTTCAACAGTAGTCTAGACCGATTTTGATTTCTACTGTTTTGGTGTTTAGCATCACTGATGAGTCCCAGAAGGACGAAACAGCTGTATGGTGCAATGTAATTCATTTTTTGGCATACTGTATCTCCATATTACGTACTCTTACGTTCATCTTTCTTAATGACACGACCCTGGTCAGGCCACACAAAGTTTAACGTTGCGCTTTTATAACGTTAAATAAAAACAATATCCATAGTTATGGACATAGGACACGCGTGTCCCAATTGATGAGTCACAGAAGGACATTTTTGGCATACTGTATCAATTACTGTAATCTATAGATGTAAGCACGTGTGTGTCTTCTTACAGATTTCAATGACATGATATAAACTGTGTAACGGTACTAAGAGGTAACTGCTATTGGTATATTGATTAAAGCACAATTTCTGGTTCAAGGGTCCACACTGCTGAAAATAAAAACAGACGTCTAGACATGCTCTGAGTAATGGTTTGTTTACTTAGAAATGAAAAGAAGTCATGTTAATAAATACAATGTGATATCAAGCGTAACTATTTACCTGGCCAAAGACATTAATTAATGTGATAAGGACACTTGACTACAAAGGTATTGCTAAACATATAAGTTGTGTATTTTCTTTACAATAGTAGGCTTTTAACTCTGAACTTAATATGACATATCTACCATCTTTATATATTGATGAACGTGGTATCAACGTGGGACAGTCCCTGTTATATATACATGTATTCCGGCCAAATCGTATTTGCTTGATTCAATTTTTGAAATAGTGTTTAAGAAAGTTTTTTGACGCATTTCATTTTCTAAAAAGTTAAAAGTTAAAATCAGAAATGTTTGATGACTATTTTTTTTCTATTGAAAATGCAATGTTTACAGAACGGAAGTGAATTAATGCAGTGTATGTGTGATATATTGAAGTAAGTTATATTAAATGAATGCTTTGCATATACACGTATAACAAGTTTGAAGATGTATAACCTTAAACGACTGCAACAACTTACCACAAAATTTTAATCAGTATATCTTCAAAAATATTGAAATAAAAAACCAAAGTTGTATGTTTAAATATTCAAAAGTATCATTATTTTATGAAAATGAAACAAAAATAAATGGGAAAAATTACATCCTTTTCAAAAATGATATTTTAGAAATTTGTCTATACACCTGTTAAGCTAACCAGAATTTGGAGGGTTTTTTCAAAGCTTCATGGATTAAATAACATTATGTGAAGGGAGGAAATACCGTTTTAAAAAAAAAATCTCCGTAATGTCGAATAAAGAAAATGTAGCTGACGACACGTTGAATTCCACATGTGTAGGACAACCGGACCCATATGTAATCATTATGATCGCACACCAATGAATCACCAATACATGCTAATCAATCTAATCATAATACATGTATTAAAAGTATCAGTCATATATCACTGACAATCTGTAACGTAAGTTTACTTAAAATCGGCTAAGGTATAGTCACCTTAGTATGATGGGTAGAATATATCGTAAAGAGCTGATAAAGTCATAACAGATGTCAGATTAACGTATTCCGTCTTTTCGTATTGCAGAGTTATCTTCTCTTGTGAGCAGGGATTGATTGTTAAGTCATTGGTTTGTGTGAGAAAATTACGTCGTTTTCTCAAAAACTGATACTCTCACAAACAAACACTTAACAAATAATACCTGCTCACAAGAGCAGATAACTCTGCATTACGCAAAGACGGAATAGTAAATTTATTATTCAGATATCCAGTGCCATTGCTTGAGGCTAAAATCTCATCACATTAATAAAGCATTATAGGATGTAATCGCAATAACAGGTATATAAGTGTCTGGAGGAAAGGAAATGTGATGCAAACGTAGTGCATTTGTTTTACAATTATTTATTTAAGGACAGATAATGACGATAAGGAAATATGAATCTGTGACAGCGTGAAGGTAGCCAACTGTTAAACGCACACTGTGTATTATTATCTGATTTCTATTCCAGGTCAGAGAATGAGGATTGGCAAATGTGTTATCACAAGAGTTAAGCAAAGTCGACCGAGAATTGACCGGGATCACCACTGTATCACCGTAGGGGTGTACCACGTGTGTCGAGAATGGCAATGTCCTCCAGTGTCATGTTTTGACGACAGAGGCGGGAAAGGAAACTGCAGGGTGTGTCCAGGTATAACTTAGAGTGTTGGGTTGGTCCTAGTATATATATGGATATTGTCAACAACAGAGTGTGTCCAGGTATAACTTAGAGTGTAGGGTTGGTCCTAGCATAGATATTGATATTGTCAACATTAGGGTGTGTCCAGGTATACCTTAGAGTGTAGGGTTGGTCCTAATATAGATATTGATATTGTCAACAACAGGGTGTGTCCAGGTGAACCTTGGAGTGTAGGGTTGGTCCTAGTATAGATATTGATATTGTAAACAACAGGGTGTGTCCAGGTATACCTTAGAGTGTAGGGTTGGTTCTAATATAGATATTGATATTGTCAACAACAGGGTGTGTCCAGGTATACCTTAGAGTGTTGGGTTGGTCCTAGTATATATATTGATATTGTCAACAACAGGGTGTGCCCAGGTATACCTCAGAGTGTTGGGTTGGTCCTAGTATAGATATGGATATTGTCAACAACAGGGTGTGTCCAGGTATACCTTAGAGTGTAGGGTTGGTCCTAATATAGATATTGATATTGTCAACAACAGGGTGTGTCCAGGTATACCTTAGAGTGTAGGGTTGGTCCTAATATAGATATTGATATTGTCAACAACAGGGTGTGTCCAGGTATACCTTAGAGTGTAGGGTTGGTCCTAATATAGATATTGATATTGTCAACAACAGGGTGTGTCCAGGTATACCTTAGAGTGTAGGGTTGGTCCTAATATAGATATTGATATTGTCAACAACAGGGTGTGTCCAGGTATACCTTAGAGTGTAGGGTTGGTCCTAATATAGATATTGATATTGTAAACAACAGGGTGTGTCCAGGTATACCTTAGAGTGTAGGGTTGGTCCTAATATAGATATTGATATTGTCAACAACAGGGTGTGTCCAGGTATACCTTAGAGTGTAGGGTTGGTCCTAATATAGATATTGATATTGTCAACAACAGGGTGTGTCCAGGTATACCTTAGAGTGTTGGGTTGGTCCTAATATAGATATTGATATTGTCAACAACAGGGTGTGTCCAGGTATACCTTAGAGTGTTGGGTTGGTCCTAATATAGATATTGATATTGTCAACAACAGGGTGTGCCCAGGTATACCTTAGAGTGTTGGGTTGGTCCTTATATAGATATTGATATTGTCAACAAAAGGGTGTGTCCAGGCATACCTTAGAGTGTTGGGTTGGTCCTAATATAGATATTGATATTGTAAACAACAGGATGTGCCAAGGTATAATTCAAAGTGTAGGGTTGGTCCCAGTTTAGATATTGATATTGTAAACAAAAGGATGTGCCCAGGTATACCTTAGAGTGTAGGGTTGGTCCTAATATAGATATTGATATTGTCAACAAAAGGGTGTGTCCAGGTATACCTTAGAGTGTAGAGTTGGTCCCAGTATAGGTATTGATATTGTAAACAAAAGGATGTGCCCAGGTATACCTCAGAGTGTTGGGTTGGTCCCAGTATAGGTATTGATATTGTAAACAAAAGGATGCGCCCAGGTATACCTCGGAGTGTTGGGTTGGTCCTAATATAGATATTGATATTGTAAACAAAAGGATGCGCCCAGGTATACCTCGGAGTGTTGGGTTGGTCCCAGTATAGGTATTGATATTGTCAACAGCAGGATGTTTCAAGATGGGTGAGAACGAAAAGATTTTGTCATGCGATTCGAATGTAAATGGTGTCCAATGGGAAATTGAAAAGCTTTAAAAGATATGAATAGATTGGTCAATAGCAAGTGATAGATTTACATGTGAGCATATCACATTTCGTACGTGTATCTTATGATATAATCAAGATGTGTTACAGGCAAACATTGAATGCATGCACATAAATAGAGGATCTCATATGAGTTTTCATTTGATATGAGATTTATGAAACTAGTTGAGAATGTTTTAATTTGGCGAGGCTGGCCGAGCGAAATTAAAACATTCTAAACGAGTTTGATAAATCTCATATCAAATGGAAACGAATGTGAGATTATGTTTATCATATGACGTAAAAAATTGACATAACATCAATTTGATACTCATTTTTTTCAAATTCCTTCTTTATCAATAATAACCGAATAACGTCTAAAATAATAGCATTCCACAGAATGCGATGAAACTTATGGTTCCCAAATCTCTACATAATTTGACAGTAGTATCGACTTATTCTATTATTAAAATTGCAAGATTTTGTTAAACTTTGCAAACTTTTTTGATATTATTAAAAATGCAAGTAAGACAACGTTTTAAACACAACGACCTAAAAATTGATCTCGCCATACTGGCAGACAGCCGCGTTAAAGCGCTTACAAATTCAAAATCGAGGTCACAAATGTTTCCCTTCCTGACTAGACACTGTCACTGTTTGAAACGATTCTTCATCGTTTAATGGCTATTTAAAGACTGAAATTTGTCCTCTTTTTGAACCACATTGATGTGGAAGTGTCCTCCATATAAATGACCACCAAACATTATGCGAAGTCCTCCGAGAATTTTCATTGATATGACCGTGTTCGTGGCTGTATTTTAGACTGCCGTGTTGTTACAGATCGGAGTCAAGTGATTCTGTTGACATTGTGTTGAGGCGATGGCCATGGCTCCTGAAGGGACGAATACATACTATGCACGAAATAATTGTTAACTATGACTGAAATCATTTAGAGATTGCTTGTTTCTTTGACCCCGCATCTGCATGATTTGATTGATGTCCCTGGTAACATTAGCCCTAGTTGACTCGGCAGATACATGTACCAGTATTTACTGCGACTCGTAGTCAAAAAGTAGTTCTTTGTACAGACTACGTCAAGCATATTAACACACATGAAATGTCAATAGACTGACAAATAAAAAAAAACAAGGTGGTATAACACTTGTTTTCATAACAGAATTTATGTAAGGGGTTTTATCACACTCCTAACATGGTAGTCATGTGATAAACATACATATGTATTTATAGACGTGTGCTCACCTTCCTGATCAAATTGTGGTTGAACTTATGACATATCTGCGGCGCCATGGACAGTTTTTACTTCTTTTTCGGCGCTTAGGCTTATTGTTGTTTTTTAAAAAAAACGTTTGCATTCTGTACACTTCGAATTCAACATTAACTATTGGGACGATTTAATTCACGTTAAAACTCTTCAGGTGCGAGTAATATCGATCTCATAAAAAATCATTTCATTCGATATTTCATTTGGTGAAGATGCTTTTACCGCCACAAACACCATTGTTGTGAATTAAAATGAGTACAAATGTATTCATGCGTAGAAGGTGAAAGCCAAACTAAAACAATGTTTCTTCAGAAAATTACACAAAATGCCAGTTATCGTAGTATTTGAAAAAACCAACTAATCTCTCCCTCTAGTTATTTGTTTTTGTATTAATACAATTTAATGGTGCAGTATACAGTTATCAAATCAGAAACAAAACACCATGTGATGTGGATAAACTGTCCATAGTCACAGTACTTTATCAGCCAAAACTGATAATAAATATTAAATTGAGTATAAAAAACGGTTTTTACGATACACATGCAGTTTTTCCCCAAAAGAGACTATATTGGCGAATGCAGGTTAATTTATTCAAAGTGAACCTTATGTACTCTTTGTGTATTGTCAATAAACTAAAACTGAACAATTGCAATTCATAAACTGAAAAATATAGAGCCATAAGAAAAAAGAACTTCATGACAAGGGTGAGGTAAGATGAAAATGTAAAAAAATAAATATAAAAATTATAACAACATTTTTTTCCCATTGCATCCTTTTAGTATCGCACTCTTTGACAAAGACAAGTTTCTATATAGACAAACCGATTCTAAGACGGCACCCCTTGAACCATAAGATTATCCAATTATCAGTATAGCATGTGCATGTATATGGAAGCAGATTATCATCGAAACGTAACGCTGACCTCAGCTCAATCAATTTTGCTCGGTTTTGTCTCGCTGCCACTAAGTATGTGTTGCTTTTCCGGCGAAGGCGGCGGCGTCAGCATTACGTCTTTTGCTTTGAAGTTAGTTTTACTGAAAGTATAATTGCTAGACCAACCAAACTTGTAATATAGATGCATTTAGGTAGTACATCCCAACCCATGCATCAAATGCTAGATGTGACCTATTTCATGGTCCATTGACTTTGTCAGCATATCCATCAACATTAAGCTTTTGCGTTTAAGTTAGTTGCCATTGAAAGTATAAGTGCTAGACCAACCAAACTTGTACCATAGATGCATCTTAGGTAATACATCTCAACCCATTCATCAAATGCTCGTTGCGATCTACCTTTCATGGTCCATTGACTCTGTCAGCATTTCCATCAAAATTAAGATTTTGCATTTGATTTAAATTCTCTGAAACTATAAGTGCTAGACCAACCAAACGTGACATGTGCATTGATGGTCAAAGCGGGGCACGGGCGAGACATATCAATCCGAATAATTTTATGGTAATATTCGTGTGTGAGCGGGCATTGTTTTTACGTTTTATATTTGGTTGACTTTGATTTAGGTTTTTTTATTTTATTTTTAACACAGACACGTGCATTGATGGAGGCAATGTGTATCAGCCGGGACAACGATTCCTTAGTGTGGACGGAGTTAACATGTGTTTATGTGGTAATGATATTATACCAAAGTGTTCCCGTCGACGCCGGGTCTCATTTATATCAATGTGTCTTATGTGACTCAGCATTCATGTATATATAGCATATATACTACTAAAAGTAATGTCTTTGCCTGAAGGTGACAACAATATTTGTTTCTCTGGAATTAATAAAATTCTTCTAAGGCGAATAGGGATGTTGTGGAGTTCGAACCTAAAACTGACGCATAAAGCAATTGATACACTGTAAGAATAAAAAAAAATCATAGAATATATGTTATCAAACATTAAAATGATGAGTTTCCGTTGTTAGAGAGTTCTATGTTACTGCCATTTAAAAATAAAAAACAATAAAGAAGGATGCACAAGAGTGATATAATTGCCAACTCACTGGTAGAATATGACTTTTAAACATCAAGTTAAAGATTATCTATGGTGATAAAAATAACAACATAGAAATATGTAGATGTCAATTTATTAAGCAGCGTATATCGATAAATGCAAACCTTTGGAACAATAACAAAAATGGCAGAAATAGGAAACGGAAGTTTTCGGAGCTTTAAAAGTGTATGGATAAACGACCTTTCTGGACTAAAGCTGTTCCGTTGGTTACTTTTTCCTTGTACATATGTTATACTGTTGTTTATACATGTATTAAGTAATAAAAAACCTATCTAAAACCGTATTCGAATTATTGTTTCTGTTGGTTTTATTTTTATTAATTTTACATTTCTTCGTGTCAATATGCGCATACAAAGGTACTAAAGCATTAAACAGCATTCTGTTCCGTGTTATAGGACCACAACACGGTACAGAATGCTGTGTTATTCTGATATTTACATTTTTCATTGTGTTAATTTTCATTTTTAAGTTCACAGCGCATTTTTAAATTCGAATTTCGCGGTAATTGTTCAAGAGGTGGAACAGCCCACGTAATTGCTAACGGAATCTTGTCTCGTGGCGTAAAATAAAGTTGGTAGAAATAAACACAAAAATATCAATACTATTACAATGATTTAATCAATCAATATATTCAATTCGTATTTTATAATAGTCTTACATAAAATGGTGAATATTATTGAATCATAGTGAGTTTGCAGAGGGGAATAACTATCCGGTAGTTAGTCGGTCCCGTGGAGATATCACTATGTGTTATGGTCTTATAACGCAGAACTGGTATTGGTAGTGGCAATGCAGAGCAAATGTCAATATATGTATATTACATTATAAATGATATGTTTCATCAATTTTGTAATTACTTATTATGATAGGTAGTATCTCCGGGGATTCTTATGCTACGTTCCATTCATCGCTAGCGGGGATAAAATTAGCAATGGGTTATAGTTATTGGGAGTTACTAACCCGCTGCAAACTTCTGTCCCATATCTCTCCACAGTTAGCCCACTGATTTGACCATTTGACCTCAGGGTCTAGGTCATAAAATTAATTATAGCACCAGAAGATTACAAGCGTCCTGTAACCAGGCTATAATTAATTGTTCAGTAATGATGTTTTTGTTGAGGACATTTCATTCATATTTATGAAAATATCTGTGAATAATCACAAAATTCATCACGAAAACCAGTGTTAACCTACATATAGATATACTGCTATTGACGCATGCTCATAATCTGAAGACAATCTAAAATTAACACAGTTTACATAGATATTGCTGCTAAACATCTTTTCTCATCACCAATGATGAAGTATAACATATTCTGTTGTGCAAAAAAAAGAAGAAGGAAAAACAAGAAGGTAAAAATAAATAAATAAAAAAACAAGTAAAAAAACAAAAACAAAAACAAAAAAAATATTCCGTTGTAAGACAGAAGGTTCAAGGAAAGAATTTTCCAAATATATTTGAATTAATTAAAAGTTGATATTGCTTATATCGGATCAAATATTGGTCATTTTGTTGACAACACAGCTATTTTGTGTTATTATATAGAAACCACACACATCTGCCAACTAATTACATTGGGAAAATATGTTTTTCTCAACACAATGGCTTGTCAATGTACTCCACTAAAACATAGTGTATGAAAATAATGCGAAAAAGACCCCCTATAAGATCAACCAAATACTGATGTAAAAGTTACCATCTGAACGCCTATTTCTTATGAAAATGATCTGAGCACACTTTGCATGTTATAACAAAACCCTCAGCATATTCCGATTTCTAAAGCAATACCAAATAAATATTGATAAAGTACCAGTACAAAATGTGTTATTTTACGTTTATCAAACCAATTTTAAAATACTGAAGAACAAATCAGATTTAAAGATTCTAAATAGGTCTCAGCTGAAAACGAGATAAGAAGTATTGGACAAATTACCAGGCACGTCTGAAGGCAAAGGAAAGGAATTATAAACGTGAATACCATACGTCAACATCGCGCATATATTTATAGATAACAAAGCACGATTTTGATCTTTGATTTGATACTGGTGAATACAAAGTTCATCGTAATTTTCTCATTCCTGACTTGGGCTGTTAATGAGTTAGTGTGAAAAACCCCTTATTGAAACGACATCACTACTTATTCTCCTCTTCAACACACGTTCTTGCTGCTATCTTGCCTTCTTCTACTGACAATAGTACATTGTACTAGCCAGTTAGCTTCTTTACCGACACCTGAAATAGCTGTGTTACATTTGTATAAACTTTGTTATCTAACCTCCTTTACCGACACCTGAAATACAATCAAAATCGTCACTGCATCTGGCTCGTCGATTGGTCGATAGAACGTTTGAGGTCGGTGTCGTCCTTGATTTCAGTCTTTTTCGGTGGCTTGTTATTTTCGCGCGTTGTCAACTTAAGATTACGCATACACGTATATGGAAATGTAAAAGTTACATTGCATGTATACATGTTCCAAACCATGTGTCATGACTGGAAGGTTTTGTTGAATTTGTATTTATGTATCCATATGTACATTGTAAAATAAATCGCAGTGTGTAAGTTTACAGAATTGTTTGACCATGCTCCTATGCATGTACAATTATTTGTCAATGACATAAAAAAAACCTGATATGGACGATATATGAGAACGGGTGGGGGTGTAAAAGCACAGAAAACCTGACTGTATTTGGAGTATTTCAAAGATCATTTATTAAACATCAATTCCGATAGCCTTACGGAACGTATCCTGGTCAGCGATGAATTGAACCAGGAATCTATTGACGCTAATGGGAGGGAGTAAACTAATGAGTAACTTGAAGTAGTAACATACGGTTTTCCCGCATGTTTCGTATAGTCGAAACAATGACGTAAGGGTTGATAAAAAAAACCTTGAAACTTAATTAGAGCATGGACTTAGATAGATAATCTAATTCCGTCATTAGAGGTATACTTTCTGGAGTGTCCAAAATATATCCGATGTTTTCCGTACAGAGTCTAGAACCTAGTTAAATACGTACAATAAAGGTAATTGTATCTGAGCTTTGAGTGACATGTGTCACTCACCAACTGTAGGATCAAGTACTTGTGATACACTAATCCTGTTGCGTAATGTGATGGACGATGGTAATGATTTAATGTGCTTAGAAATATAAAACTTCACACATGAGGCAAATGTCACAAAGGGTATAGATATTGACGTAGATAATTACATTTAAGGATAATGTAACATGTGTTTAGTCAAATTCCGTCTAAATGTCATATAAAGTTGTTTTGTATAAAGTTTCTGAGTTTCTAGATGTAAACAATTCGAAATACAAATTTAATAACAGATAGTAAGATTTAAGATTTTTCATGAACAATCAGTTATTTTCACAATTAATTTCAGCACTAATTTGTCACAAAAAATTCTATGTGATAGTATTATGAAACCCTTTTCGTTAAAAACGGTAACAGATGAATGCTTAAACAAGTCTGCGGTCCACAGCGATAGGTATTTAAATGTTCAACGGTTTAAAGGCGAACTTAATTGATTTACGTACACAACATCTACATGTAAATGCTCTTCAACTTTTGTTCAACGTCAATACGATTCTTTAATGCTCGGTGTGCTTACTACAAAGAAAAACAAAACGGAAGAGTAACAGAGGCAATATGACCGTTAAGTGTGATGTAATAGAGTACCTGCTTAAACACAAACAATGATAATAATAATAAGCTTCCAGCGCACACTTGAAAAATGTGTCGACTTTCGGCAGCTAGTACATGTCCTATACAAGAGGAAGACAATGATTTAGATTGCAACGCGGTAATTTTTTGAAACGCCAATTATAACGTAAAACGTTAGAAATCACACGGCGGAAGTGCTTTAGTGAATTAATGCTTGATTAAATGTAATTATGGCTAGCACCCATTTAAACATACATTATTAACAATATATTGAATCTTGATGTTTTCCCGCCAAATGGTCAACAGCCGTTGTTGTACCCTCCCATAAAAACGATGTTTTCACGGATCCTAAGAATTTCCCAGGTATAATAAGGATAAGTTAAATATTGTGTTTTATTTCAGGACAATTTTAGTTCATTTAAACCTTTTTACTTCACTTATGTTGGATTGATGTAATGGGAAGCATTACCCCAATCACAAATTGTTTTTGTTTTACACGATTATGATAACAAATATGTATTGAAAATGTTACCCCTAATTACGTATTTTTTCTATACATTTGCAATATAGGGGTGGAGGTACAAAAAGCATGACGTATTTTATACAAAAAAATAAGCTTCGGGTTATAAATGACCGTGTTATACCATGGTTAACATTGAGTTTGAGTGAACGTTAGTGGCTAATATCTCGTTTACAATGTTTAAATTGTTATTTATATGGTTAATTTCTGTATTTGCATTTTTAGAAAAGATACAACTTATGTAAATATCTAAAACAAAATGTGTTGAACTTGGTCTCAGAAGTATATGGGCGAAACAGTCGTCATTCGTTATTAAACTATTGCGACCAGACTAAGCATTATTTTTTTAATTTGCTGCACATTTCGGTAAAAGTGACATTAAACAGACTTATTGTCGATAACGTTACTTTATAAGTGATAAGTGTTTTAGATGTTGCCTTAGGTGTAATGCACTGAGTTTCATTTGTACTTATCTGCCAACTCAGATTCAGATAAAAAGGCAGAAATTCATTCCGATATTTACTGGTATAAGACATCTGCCTTTTAAAGTAATGTTACTGTTGAATGTAAACACTTTGAAATCATTATCGAAATCAGAAGAATTTATTACGGAAGCTAACCAACGCAAAACTGTTTGTTTTAACATTATTTAAACTGCTGTTGATAATGTCTTGTCATGTCTGTATGTCCTTCCGTCCAGCTGTCTGTCTGTGCGGTGTTATTATTCTTTCATTGTACCTTCCAAATACGAGTTTGTAATAAATATCCGTTCAAATTTTTTGTTAACGAATGGTAACTGGGAGTAATGTATACGAAAATATATAAAGCTAAAGACATGTAATTTATTGGAACAATAAATTTATTTATGTATGTTGGCAATTACCATAAATATTATATAATAATGTCAATATTTATTATTCATGAATGTTCTTATAAGGAGCTTAAACGTCTGGGATGCAGCCCAGCAGTTAGATCATGAGTGACCATAGCGTCATTGCTATTTTTAAAATATCACGCGAACTAAGGGTGATTTTCATACTATGCCTGGAAATCAGCAATTGACCAATCAGCGTCATGCATTTCTCCCTTCCGTA